AAAAGATTGGCAACTATATTCATAATGCATTTCAATCAAGAAATAAAAATGCCATTTGATATGTAACACTTGCTTTATCTTTTTTTTTTAACAACTAACTTTCTTTTTGTAGTAGTAGTTATCACAACTAATCTTTATTGCTATTAACTGATAGAAACATTGTATTTCTAAGGATGCAATAAAGTTATTATTATTATTATTGTTTTTAAAATGGTAATTGGAGAAATAGTTTAATATCTTATTTACTATATCGGAAATCATCTCTTGTTAAGGTGTCTGTAAGCCATGAACAAAATATGCATTATTGACATTCCAGACTCATCATCACTCCAATATGAAATATAGATAAATAAATAAATAAATTTTCCTAATAACAGACAGACACTTCAAATATTGCACACAGCATTCTCGCACATTCATACTTAGATAACCCAAGGAACATCTTAAAAACATTGTTTTGTATTAATGTTTTTAATACTTATTTGAAATATTGATAAATGTTTGCCAGTCTTTCTTAACAAAGTGATGATTACTGAATTTCAGAAAGATATGCTTATTGTATCTAAGCATTCTTTTGATAGCTCTATTCTCTCCTCTATTCTGTAGCTATCTGGACCTTACTGCTATACTGCTCATCAATAAATGTTGTTTTTTTGGTATCGAAGATCAATCAGACAAATTTTGTAACCAATCAATAAGACAAAAATCTATTTTCAAGCTTATAGGAAATCTTGACCCACTAATAGTTTGTGCCTGATATTAAACAGGAAATGACCTAATTACTCCATGCATGCTGCTAGCATTTGTAGGAGTGCAAATTGGTTAGGGGTCTATAGAAGGTAATGCTTATTCGCAATTACTCATTCATTGGAATAGTTTTCCATTTCTCCTCTAAATATCCCTTTATTATCTGAAGACTACTTCTGGTATTATATTAATTTGTGCATAATAATTACCACTCTTTGAATTTCAATACGAGTAAAACATGGTTGCTCTGGGGTGATCCCAGTACTGATAAGCATAGTTTAGGGTTAAAATCCTTGCACTCGATTTGCATTATGTATACCTAATTTGCATAAATTATAACAGATAAATCAAACAGCAACCACATGTACAATCACAAATTTATTTCGTTTGATATTATAATAAAAGTTTTCTGTATTATCAACTTTAATAATCAGTTTGCTTTCACATTGTGCATCTCAAAAAGTAGATCTACCACTATCAGCCACTAGGCTTCTTGTTTAAAAGACTAATTTTAAAATATTCCCTATTTCATATGCCTCCAATACCCTCAGCACACTGAAGTTCTTTTCTAAGTATTTTTTGATTGACAAAGAAGAGTGCGAAATGACGTAAAAATATTTCTTCTCATATGCATTGTACATATGATCAGTGACATGCTTACGAGGGCAAAATTTGATTTCTAGTTCCTATCAGGAGTGACATCTCAATAACGTTCATTGTCCTGGTCATCTACGTATACTAAGTTATATATATTAAATTAAATAAAGCTTGATAATTTCTGATACTGGTAACATATCAATGATGATGACCAGATGGTAGCATATCTTCCCAGCACCAGGAAGTTTGTGGGTTTTAACTTCTTTGATCAGCTGCACACTCAGCATGCAGTCGAAAACGAAAGTACATACTTGTCCACTTGCCAGGCTTGCTACATTTAGAATTGGAAATATGGATTCAGTGGCAGGGAATGTAAAGTTGTCGGCCTCGTATGCTGTTTCTGTCCTCAGTGCACATGAATAAAAATCACAGCAGCATCCATGTGTCAACAAGTAGAGGACTGCCGTGGGATGTCTGGAACTTTACCACATCCTAGATCTGTAATCTTTTGATCTGCATAATAAATAAAATGCAAATGTCTGAATCAGACAGATTGCTGGTACTTAAATTTAATGAAAATCATCTAACGCTTGTCAGTCATTGGAAAACATGTTGACAATCATCTAAGACTGTCATCTCACACTGATCATGTGACAATTTATGTGGACAATATGAAGAAAATGCAAGTAGTGTTTATAGCAGTTTCAATATTTCGCATCATTTTTAAAATATAAAATTAAAATAAATGCATGGTTTATTTTGTGAAATTTTTGTTGAATGATATATTCATTAATTGTTTGATAAGAATACAAATCATAATAAATGATAAAAACTTTTCTAAATTTTTTAAAAACTAAATTGCATTAATGGACTTCATGTTCAAGGCACATACATGTACACGTACATTTCATTTATTGCATTCATTCAATCATAACATTCTGATGATCAATATGACGTGGCGCGTCTTGTCGATGACCATCTCACCCTCTTGTCTTTGACGAGGCGTCTCTTCCAAACCATTAGACACATGGTCTCATCATCATATTAAACGTGTTTAATTTTCAATGATCACCTTCAACACTTGCCAATAACATTGTTTTGTTTTAGAACCACTCACACTGCTCACTCTTCGTCAGTGAGTGTCAACCAACTCTGTCTGGGTTGACTTTATTTGACCAATTAATTGAAAAGTCAGATTTTAATATCCAGCGTACAATTAATAAATGCCATTTTTCAGCTTATGCGCATTTCTATTGGATATGTTCTTTTCATAGAGTAATTGCGCAAAATCTGTATTAGAAGCAGCATCCCTGCTAGGGGGTAATAAAAGCTTATTCATTTTAGAACCACAAATTTGCTACATCCCCTATGTTGCATTGCATCATTTTAATATAGGGTTGAAAGTACCTCTTAGCGCAAGGGTATACATTTCCTGTTGATTGTTTGCTGCTGCACCTTAAGACAACAGAACTTGGCAGACTAGGCTTTAAAACTAAAATAGAACCTTATACGCCATAGGGCAAATGACAGTACAAAAGAATAAAAAATAGAGAGACATAACAACGTTGATTTTGATCACATGATATATTTTGTTATTAATGTAACCATTTTTTTTTTTTTTTGACAGGGCTGTCTTATTATAAGCGATGAAATGAATCATGCCTCCCTTATATTGGGTTGTCGTCTCTCTGGTGCTTCAGTTACTAAGTTTAAACACAATAGTGAGTATACAATACTACCTGCATGAATGACGCATGGGGTCAATCCTATTGAGCTCGGTGACAATGAATCAATTTCTTTGTAAACCAAGGTTGTGCAGTGTCGATTGGAGAACAACACCTACCCCCTTCCTTGAAAATACACACCCAGACAAAACACCCTTTGTTTTGAGTCTATGTATTTTATCAACATACACGATAAAATAAATGACATCACAATGACCTGGATTTGAACCTCTTATTTTTATCACTCCTGCGTATGTATAATATACTGGAATTCAACCATTACTGTGGCCCAAACATTGCCATTTTGTCATAAATTTGGAAGGAAGGGTTGTCCCCCCCAGGGGTGTTTTGTCTAGAGTATTATAATATAAACAATATAAATCTCCCACTGACTCTAAATACTGTGGTTGGTGGGGCGCTTGATTGGCTTCTTTTGGTTACCATGAGATTGAGCATGTAAACATAGCTTTTATAAGTTGTATGATTAAACTTGTGCAGCTGAATTGCCATCACAAATATAGTCTGCCTTCTATGGTGTGTTACTATGGTAACTTTATTGAAATTGTCACTTATTTTATCCACTGAACGCTGAGTTACTAACATTTGCAATGTAGGCTGTTATCATGGTACCAATATATTGCTACCATGAACATTAATTATTAATTTTATAATCAAGTCAGTGAATGAGAAAGTGTACTAATAATATATTACAGCTGGACTGTAGTCTATTAAGCCTCAATCCTTCCAGGATCCTCTGCAACCACCTAACAGTCCGTAATCGTCAATGCCAACTCTTATTAGTCAACATGCTCACCTGACAAGGTGGTGTGATACATACGCCTTTTAAAGGTGAAATAAAAGAATGGCCTGACTAGCCTGTTCCTTTGAATTGAGTGGACATTTGCATAACAATGGAATAGCCATTATATGACTCATGTTTTGACCCTTCTCCCCAGACATTATTATTTTCACTAGCATTTAATTTCACTTTTGATTCTTTGAGGAAATTTCACTGGGTTTTAAGTTCACAAACTATGTAGTTAGTTCATATTAGTTTCTCTCATTCTCTGTTGCTTTCAGTTTGTACATTTATATGCATAATTTGGCATGAAACCTGTCTTGTTAAATTTTTTAATGTCAGTTTCACCTGTTTAGTTTCTGATTTATTACTACTTCTGAATCGGTTAGTATACATACTTGTGTTTGTATTTCTCTTCAGTTATTTATTAGCCATCCAGCCAAAACTTTTACATTAATCTCTGTCATTTGTTTAAATGTCTGCATATGTGCAGCTTTCTTGTTTGCACATGCCTTCCCTGGTTTGCACATGCATTCCCTGATTTGTGCACATGTATTCCCTGGTTTGTGCACATTTATTCCCAGATTTGTGCATAGTGTTCTCAGATTTGTGCATATGCATTTCTAGGTTTGTGCACATGTATTCCCAGATTTGTGCATAGTGTTCCCAGATTTGTGCATAGTGTACCCAGATTTGTGCATAGTGTTCTCAGATTTGTGCATATGCATTTCTAGGTTTGTGCACATGTATTCCCGGATTTGTGCATAGTGTTCTCAGATTTGTGCATAGTGTACCCAGATTTGTGCATAGTGTTCCCAGATTTGTGCACATATATTCTCTGGTTTGTGCATGTGTATTCTCTGATTTGATCCAAATACTGGTCTTCCACTGAGGGTAACATATACTATGTTAATGTTACAGGATCTCGGCACATGCCAAAGATGTCAATTCTTCTTGTTTGAGGCAGTTGCGTTCACGTTAGTCTGGACCCACTTGGCTCATGTTGAAATCACACCCTTGTTTATCTGTTACCGTAAAATTTGTATTAGAAGCCGCATCCCTAATAGAAGTCACACCCATTCTTTTTGAATAATTGAGAACCAAAAAATCATCATTTCTCATATGTGTAGATGCTCTAATAGAAGCCGCATCCCCTCTGTTGCATTGTAACATTTTAATGGAAGCTGCGGTTTCTAATACAGATTTTATAGTAGTTGACCAAAACATGGTAGACGATATGCATATGATGATAATATTAATTACTTTATTGAAATCATATTCATTTGCTGTTACAGTATTTATTATGAGTCTTTGTGCACATGAACGGCAAAGAACTGTGTTTTCACGTCAATGTACAAGATGTAGCATTGCAAAAAAAAACTGGTTGCAGCAGCACATAAAAATGTGTCGCAGACAACGTTCTTCATTCGTTTCGTTGATTACTAAAGCATCGGACTATATTTTGCTGCACTTCCTTCTATCAGCATGTCATACTAGTATGAATCAGTATATGTTCTCTTAAATTCAATGTTGAGGGTGTGATTTTGGTTCGTGCTGAGCATTCAGGCAGCAAATCTCATCATGTGCAGAGTTTTGGTCTCTACTTTCTATTGAGACAAAGATCAAGGTTTTTTCGCCATGTGCCGTCTCAGTCCTGACTCTCTGCACTTTTACACTGTGGGTTAAAGCAATGATTACCTGGATAACATAGAATTTATTCTTGTTAGGTCATTATTTGGTCTGTGCATGTTGACAGTCGCACTCCTTACTCTTAGATAGAATGCGTTTATTATGGAACAGCAACCATAATATTCATGAAAGTGTAAAAATAACCTTCAGATATTTTGGTTAATAAAAAATAGATGTACTAAAAATAAGCCTTTTGAGAAACATCATTGAAGTTTGTGGCTAGTCCACTTCAAATACAACTGTATCTGATTAATATTGAGCCATCTGTTCATATTTATGCTTGTATCATGTGTCTTGTTGTATTTTCGTTTTTGTTTTTTCCATGTTTTGATATTGTTTTGGCAAATCTGGAGTAAAAATTATAGGGTACATTCTTGACAAAACATGGGAGTTTTCCTTAAAAAAATGAATTTTGAAATGCAAAAGGCAGATTTATTAAATATATAGTCAAATGATAACATCACAGTGATTGTAAATATATGTCTTAACTCATAACCTGCTGAATGCTCCACTGATAGAAAAAATGAATTGGAAAAAAATAGGGTCAGATGGCATGAAGAATTACAACTTGGCATGTAGAATAGTACCTTAATGATACCGTACTACTGCGTAGGTACTTGTTGTTTTTCACGCTCCTACCCAAGAAAGCATTCACTTGCTGCCCTGTATTGTGTTCATATCTAATTATGTGACATCTGATCTCAGTAGCTTGAAGGCTTTCATCTTAGACATTATTAAAATACATAATCCTTTTATTCTTTGCAGATATGGATAGTTTGGAACTAAAATTACGCCAAGCAATACTAAATGGTCAACCACGAACGCATAGGCCATGGAAAAAAATACTTATTATTGTTGAAGGTATATACAGGTAGGTGCACTTTTTTTATAAAAAGTACCGTAAAATCTGTATTAGAAGCCGCATCCCTAATAGAAGTTGCACCCATTCTTTTTGAACAATTGAGAAACAAAAAAATCCATGATTTTTCATATGTGTAAATGCTCTAATAGAAACCGCATCCCCTCTGTTGCATTGTACCATTTTAATAGAAACCACGGCTTCTAATACAGATTTTACAGTATACAATGAATTCACTTCTTGGAGCGACATTACACAAACTGTAAGATATGGTATTAAAATGAATTCCAACAACTGAACATTTATGTTGTTCAATTATCAAAATTGCTTGAATCGAGTTGTTTGTTCATAGTCATAGTGTGGAGATAATGAGTGAACAATAAAACTGATTGCTCTAGTACTCTTGAAGTGCAATGAATCTTCCTCAGACTCAGCATTCAGGATTGTTGATCTTTTATGGTCAATGTTCTCATACCTCTATTTATTTCATCAATGTTAATTTTTTTCTTACTCATTTCATGAGAGTGGACCAAGAGACCATGAGAGGAGTTACCAAAATAAACGCACGACCAATAGGTCACCTGACCAAGTGAAATATAAATAATAACCATCTCATTTTGTTGTCATTTTCAGCATGGAGGGATCCATAGCTAACTTGCCTGAAATGATCAGACTGAAAAAAAAATATAAATCGTATCTTTATCTGGATGAAGCACACAGTATTGGTGCTTTGGGTCCAAATGGACGAGGTGTGGTGGACTATTTTGGGTTGGATCCCAGGGATGTGGATATAATGATGGGGACATTTACAAAGAGTTTTGGAGCAGCTGGTGGATATATCGCTGGTTCTAAGGTACATCTTTTCTTCAATTTTAGTCAATATGGTGAGGTTATTGTTGTTACGTTGCTAAATTGCATGTGTAGTAAAATGAGCCATGAATCAAAATCTATCGTTCTGGTGTCGGAATCTGGCTGATTTATTTTTTATTAGGACAACTGAAAATATAAAATATAACAACGGTTTCAAATCTTGCTTCAGAACATCTCAACACAACTAACCTAGGAAGTATGAATGTTCAACATTAGCTTAGATGCAGTGGCAATAAATGCTTTGAGTTTTCATATAACATAAAAGTTAGAAAGAACGGGACAGGACAGGAAACCATACAAGAGGCTGATATTCCTCAAACAGATCTTGAGGGATTTTGATTAACTAGGAGAGTCACATTCAAAATTGTCAGTTTTCATGCAATTCAATGGACTTGCTGACTCCCTAGGATGCTAAAAAAAAATTGGTAATATTCAGCTGTAAATTTCCTGACACACATATATTACATTTGGTATTTAACACATGTTTTTATGTCAGTGACCATATGAACTGATACATAACAAAGGTCGATGTGACCCCCTTGCTGCCTGAGTGAATAATATTATACACTTTTTACTTCCTGTACTCCATGACTATTTGCATTTTGTGAAATGATTCTATTTCAGTCATCAAGCTACATTGCCGCTGTGTCTGATGTAAACAAACACAATTTTCCCAAACAAGGAAACTCATTTAAATACACAAGGAACAAGGAAACATTTTCGAATATGTTCATTCAGTGTTTTACGAGTGGAGGAATTCTATTACTTTCACTGCCAGATGTATAATAATACTTCATTATGTAAAAATATACAAACAAAATATATACAATAATACAACTTTAGTACTATAAAAGGTTGCTGTAATGTATGTTTTCTGATGTTATAAAAATGTGTACACAGTACATGTACACATAACATTTTATTTTCTGATGAAATGAACATAATTTAACTCGTAGGGTGTTGATGTTTTGCAGGCTCTAATTGAACATTTGAAATCCCGCTCTCACAGTGCTTGTTATGCTACGTCTATGCCTGCACCAGTTGCACAACAGATTATAACCAGTATGCAATGCATTATGGGATTGGATGGAACTAACACAGGTATGTATGAAATGCATTATGTGATTTTATTTGTAAACTATGGATACCGGTATGTATGAAATGTAAATAATTAACTAATGGATATAAAGTTTCACTCCTGTAAACTAGATGTCTCTCCTCAGAGATGCCAGGCTGAGCCAGATTTCTTTAATATCAATATTCATATCAACCCTTGGAGCTATATGGTTGCATAGACCTTAAATTTTAATCGAGTCTTGCATGTATGTGAAATTTGAAAGGATTAGCTATTTTCTCTTGTAGTCATATTGCATAAAAACATATACAGATATGTGACCTTGACTTTTGACTTAAGTCCTCAAAATTCAACTAAGTCTTGTGTTTAAAAGTGTTAGGATGCTTCGAGTTCATCCACAGACCTGCTTAGTTTTTGGTTGAAATATGGGCTTATTAATTACCTAATTTGCATAATAATTAACATTTAATTTAATAAAAATGTTCAGCTCACACTAATATACATTCTAATTTATTCATTTTGTTATTAGATTTTTATGTTTTAGTGTTCTTGCACAGATTGCTGTGTTTTGTTCTTGTCTTCCAATCTTTATCATTTATCATTTCAAAAATCATCTGTTTTCTCTTTAAAAAATCAGGTCGTCAGCGACTTAAACAGTTAGCCTGGAACACTCGATATTTACGCCGCCGATTACATGAAATGGGTTTTATTCTTTATGGTAATGATGATTCACCAGTTGTGCCATTGTTGATGTATATACCAGCAAAAATAATGTAAGTCATTAATAAATTGTATCAGATGGTGGCATCAGTGTGAGAGGCTGCCCTCTTGAGACAAAGTGTCAAGCTTCTCTCAGTCTGTGTTGCTTCATGGACATCTTTCATCATATTAAATAGGTATAAATGTTCAGGTCCCAATATTCAATACAGGTGGAAATAGATTCCATACAAGATAGTGTGTGTGTGTCACAGTCTATCATTCTATCAAGCATAAAATTAATTCTGAATCACGTGTGACACTGTTGAGCTACTATATCCCATCATTAGGTGTAAGATGTTTTATTAGCAGTTGTTATGTAGCGTTGATCGCCATGGCCCAGGAACATGCATGCACTTATCACTCAATGCTAATGTTGAAATTTGATACATTCTTCAGGTGAAGTGCTGTGTTTGAGTTTATTTGTATTAATATACTTATACTTGTATGTCACAAACCCCGCAATATCGCATATTTGCATGATTTTTCATAACCAAATTTAACATCAAAATTTTATGCAGATTCAGGGCCTTTGGGTAGTAATAATAATAATAATAATAATAATGTTTATTTGCCATAGATTACACAAAAGAATATCAATACAACAATAAATAATAACTAATAAATATTGATAAATAATAATAATATTATTCTATGGCTGGGAAACAGAAATTAGCTCATGCAGAGCTAGTCTAGTCTGTTTCCCATCAAAATATATTTTTAAATAGCTATTTATTAAATATTGTATTGTAATATTGTATTTTACGATATGATAGAGAATTGAACATTTGAGGGTCAAAAATATAACTTGGGGCTATCTCTCTCTCTCTCTCTCTTTCTCTCCAGCTCTATTTGCTATGTGATAAATTTTATTTAGAACAAATTTATTTTGTATGAGAACCCAGTTTTAAAAAATTTATTTTTGTGTCTGCATCATAATACAGTGTGACAGATTGAATGTATTGTCACTTGCTTCGATCTATAATTACAACTACTAACTTTTAGTTCCTGTGGCAAAGATTCAGTGACAATCATAGAAACTACAGTATTGAATGCTGTTTAAACTCTGATATTGAATCAGATAATTTTAAAATGACTACATGTAAGTAATATAGACAATAAAAATGAGATTGGAGTTGTCAGGTTTTTTTCTTCTTCATGCATGAAGCATGCATGAAGCCGAAATCTGTGAATTGAACTGACACATTTATGTTTTGACTTATGCTTTGACTTATGTTTTGATGTTTTGTGTGTCCGTGCATGTGTGCGTGCGTCTGGACTTGTATCTTAGACATAATCAAAAGTCAATTCTGGCATTCCAGAACTTGATCTTGGCGTTATGGGTGGATATTGTTCAAACTTAGTACATACGTTGGACATTGTGGGCCCTTGATGCACATCAATTTATTTTTCAGATCCAATTTAAAATGGCGGACTGGCGGCCATTTTGTTTTAATGAATGCAGTTCTAGAGCCATATCTCTAATATGATTATCTTTGACTGATTATGATCATGTTATAGATATATAATATATACTAGTCAGCCATTTTGTTTTAATTAATGCTGCTCCAGAGCAATATTTTTCAATATGGACAAGTATTCGTTTGACGATCAGATACAAGATGTCAATCATTTTAATGTTAAAAAATCATTATAATCAAGCATCATCTTCTGGATCCATATCTCTGACATGTTTATGTTCCAATTATATTACTACACGTATAAACAAAACTATATATATTAAATTTGATAACTAACAGGGACTGTCCCATGCATGGCTTGTTCTAAATTTATTTATCACTGATTTATACCTGGATTTTATTTTGGCTGATTTGAATAGCGAAAATGAAGTATTCAACATTATTTTACATAACCTGAGACAGGTCATCTACTAAACTTTGTCTTTGCTCAGCAAGCACAGTCTTTACTTTGACCTACTCCTAACTACTGTAAATGCAATAATTATTTGCTTATTGTTAGTTTCGTTGATAAGTAAAATTCGCTATACTTCATCCATGTGAATATGTAGAATAACAATAAAACTCATTGTTCCCCTACCAAGTTTAAACCCAGTTTCAAGTCACCAAAATAATGAAATTAAATCCCAGTGAAAAGATTGTTTACAGTATCATGTTTGATTATCATCTATCTTGTTTCAGTGTGTTTGGACGCGAGTGTTTGAAGAGGAACATTGGTGTTGTTGTTGTTGGATTTCCAGCCACATCCATTATTGAGGGGCGGTCTAGAATTTGTATATCAGCGGCACATACTAAAGAAATGCTAGACAAGGTAGGAATCATTTGTTTTATGACACAAATAACCTCCCACTCCGGGATGAAAACTGACAATTCAATAGAGTATAATCCTGCATGATACATGTATTTTTATCCACCTAAATTTAGAACACTGTGGTTGCCTAATGTATATTTATGTAGTGTAAAACGTTAATTGTTGTTGAGAAGAATATGTATCTACAGATTAGAAGCATCCATCATTTTTGATATGAACGAAACAATGAAAAACGATTTATTAGCTCAATCATTTGACATTGTTCACCTGTAAACATACACTCATCAGTTTGCACAAAATCAATAAAATGCAGGGAAGAACGATTACAAAAAAAAGTAATCAAATGGATTTGTACAGCTTAATCACGTCAGTGTTCTTTTCCACCTCAGGCAGAAAAGGAACTGAATACTTATTCCGACGTTACCCAACAGAAACCTGACTTCTGGCTATCGGTTTGTTTAGCCTCATCTTGTAGGAAGGCCTGAAGTATTTACATTTAGCAAATGAAATTTTATAATCAATAAATGTATTAACACATATTGCCTGCTGATGCAGTGTTATCCCAAACATTTTGGCTATTCGTGGAGGCTTTCAGCATGTTATGTGGTATTAAAATATGGTAGTGTTGTGAGCAATGCTTTTAGAATAATAATGTCATGCCAAAATACATTAGTGCCTCGGGCAACTTTATTTTTAATATTTTTGATGCATTTGATGTCAAATATGAAAGTTGTGTAGCGTTTCATAGGTTGTTGCTGCCAAATGCTGTCCAAAAGCAATGGTCTCAGCAACTCTAGTAAAATAGTCATGCGACTTTAATCGGAGGTTTGTATTTGTAAGGGCGGTTTTGGATGTATTGTTATCTGTGGGGCCTGACAGCTATATATGGGCTTAGAGGGGCAGAAATAATGAACCACCCTCATAGTAACTTTAATCCCTAACCCATATCTTGTCAGTTATATTCTATACATTTTTTATTTGGTAGGCTTTGGACGTTATCAAGGAAGTAGACGAAATATTGGATGTGAGGTATTCCAGTCTACCCATTGAGAAGAGAACTGCACTCACAGAGAAAGATCTAGAGGAATTATCACCCATTGAAACACATTGTCCTTGATTAGAGATACATCTATCCAAGTAGGAAATCATAGAATGCAGTCATCTTTATATTACAGGAGCCTATGTTCTTTGAAAAAAAAAATGGAAAAAAACAGCAGATAAAAAAAATTTAATACTAAACTAGCTAATGATGATTCATAAAAACCATGAAATTCTTTACATGACTCCTATGTGCAATGGTAGTTTTTGTGGCTACTATGTCCGTCTGTATGTTTGTAATATCTGTTGCATGGACACACTGGGATAATGCACAGACCTGCTTAATTCTTGGTAGAAATCTGTTTATATTTTTCTAATTTGCATAATGTTTAGCAAATCTTATTCTGGAAGCTTATATCTAATTTGCATAATAATTTGCCAGTTTTATGCTTTTTATTGATATCTCAAAGAACAACTATGGATTTCAATGAATGTACATAGTTACTCTGATATAATCCACAGACTTCACGACTTGGGGGTTGAACTCTGTGCATATTAATTACCTAATGTGCATAATAATTAGCCAATTTGTAGCTTTTCTACTTATAATTTCTGTGTGTTTGTTTTTGCATGTGTCGTCAATCTGCACCTGTATTTTGAAGATTCCAGGATTGTTCTTGCTCTGGGATACATGTGCATTCATATTAGGATCTGCTTTGTTTTGCAGATCGGATTCAAAATGGCCGACTGGTAACCATTTTGTTTGAAAAAGAGAGCTGACACGTCTTGTCCGATCATGCCCAAACTTTACAATTGCTTTATACATTATGTTACACATATGCACATTCATTTGTCTCATGATTCAACTCAAGTTAGCCTGAAATATGTCATGCAAATGACTTGTATTTTATATAACGTCACTGTAGTTTGCTATACAAATAAACCATGCCAACGGACTGCCATCTCTAAGGTACCACATTGTTTAAATTTTTTAAACAAGGATATGAAGAGATGTAGCAAAATGTGTCTGTGTACAACATGCTCACACCAACGCTGAGTTTCAGATAAGTTTGTGTAAGGATATTATTATAATGTGCTTCTTATACACTACTATTGCATGTCGGAATGTGAATCAGAAGGAAGATGGTTTACGTTTATTCATGGATTGTAGTTTGATTTAAAAAATTAAATGTAAATATGTATAAATTAATATTTTTTCTTGTTTTTTTTTTTTTCTGCTTGCATGGTACAACCTTGTATTCGTTGCCCGGAAATTAAACACTGTTAAAATTGATTCTGTGTAATTGTGATAATTTTGTGATAGTTGGAAAAGTCTGGAAAACAGACATGTTTTGGATTATATGGAAATATAATACTGTTAAACCATTATTATTCCTGGCATGTAATTTCACTATTTTGATGTTTTGAGTAATTTCATTGGATTTAACTTCACAAACAGTGGAAAATCAATGAGTTATGTTGTCATTCTACATGTTCATAATGATTTAATTCAGTGAATTGTACTAATCAGCAAAAATAGCTAAGTTAAAAACCAGTAAATAATTAATATGTTTACAGTAAGTATTTCTTTGCTCAGGTTGGAGCACCCCTACTTACACAATTTTACTAATTAACCGACAGTCAATGCAAATGATACATTCATTCTACATCTTTATTTGTTGACTCTTTTTTTTTTAAATCAGTCACATTTTTGAGTATTTTATTGACTAAGGATTTTCCATTTTCACCACCAGAGGGCTCACTCTGAATAATCTCACTTTCTATCACACTGTTGGTGTCACCTGTAATGCTAGTGTGCATACAAGTTGCAGCTTTAAACCCAGATTCTTTCATTCAACTTTGTTATCCATTTGCAGTAAAGTCTTCTCATCTATGCACCATTGAATGCCACAGACACTAAACTCTCACCGTTAGTTAGTTTGGACTAACGACAATATTGTCTCTTGTCTCTGGTCGGACACGTGTACATGTATATATAAGAATCTAAGTAATTGGAGCAGATCGTTTGTAATTATTTTCTTATCAGTGCTTCAACTTGCAAGCTTCCATTGTTTTATGATGCCAACTTTCAACTTGAATCGTTTTTTGTCTTCCTCTTTTGTTAATTGTTTTCTATATTTTTCTTTTTAAGTCATTTTGTGTTGGCACTTTCAGTAGCCAACCATGCAGTATTGTAACTGTCATAGATGTGCAACATGTAAATAACCACCCCCACCTTAGCCTTATCCCCACCCCCACAACCCACCTCACCCCATCCCACCCTAAAAGAAGTACTTGTCTCAATGTTATTTACCGTTACAATACTGATAATAATTTATACTAGCTTATCAATTTTCTAAAATAATATTTGAATAATTACACCCTTAGTTTGCATTCATTGTTCAAAGCCCTGCTATAAACTACAGTCTGTAACTGCTCCAAACTGTGATCTTACACTTTATACACTCCCTGCTGCCTAAATCAAGTTTTGATGAAACAAAATTAATAATTGGCCACAATTTTCAAGCTCGGCATTTTCTCCTAGAAGAATGAATGATGTCTTCTCAACTACTGTGTCAATTTGAAATATTACAACACAACTTTTAAAACTTGCGATCATTTTTAATGGTGCTATGAGATATGTAGTTTTTATTTAATACCTGTATATAGACCTTATAAGTGTGATGTCTTGACTCCATCCCAATAGTTTGTGCTATGTTAAAATGACTTGCCAAACTTTTCTGAATATCATTTATGGGTTTTTTTGATGTCTCATATAGATAGGTGTGAACTTGGTGATGGGGTGGTTCTTTCTCTCCACAATTATTACGAACTATAGTGATTCAAGTGCTTTTGTTTTCAGTCTGACATTATCCTGGATATGATGGTTGGGGTACTAGTTATTTCAATTTAATACAACAATTTTCAAGATAAATGAATCCTCACATATGTACATGAATTGAAGTGAAGAGGAAAATGCTACAAAATACTGTTCATATTATTTGACCACCAACACTTAATATAATGATCCACACCCAGTAAGGGTTGTATCAAGCATTAGTTATTTTGGTTTTTATTTTCAATATTCAATTTTTCTTAGTTTTAATATTACAAGCGTATCACATTAAGTATGTATTTTTGAAAACCATTCTAATTTAGTTCTTGAAATTACCAGTACTATCAGTTTGAAATGATTTTTGTTTTTCTAATTTCATTTATAAAACATGATTTTCATCCACTTTTATTGATAATTTGTAAACGTGAGACACTCTATGAACTCTATCCTTCTTTGCAAGATGGCAATTGACACACTAATGTTGTGTTTATGTGATTGTCGCTGATTCAAACATTACTAATGAAAAACCTTAGCAGAAATAATAAAGCTACCAGTGGGCATGTTTCACTTTAATTTCAAGATTAGAGAATTACATATTGCATAGAAACCCACAAATACGTTCATATATATAGATTATATCTGTTCTTACCTTAGGGTAGTAAGTATGCTATAAATATGAATCACATTATGGATTTATTGGGGGGTTTCATGATGGTGGAATAATGCACAGCCGAAAGAGCAAGTTATCCTCGTGATTGTTTCCTTAGGAGCTAAGAATTAAAGCTCATTGCTCCCAGTTGGCAATTTCTAATCCAAATCATATCTGTTTTGCTTTTAGAACTGTTATGGAATTATTAATATCTGTATTTTTTTTTTCTGAATTTTGTTTTATCTGGCTCCTTTTAAACACCACTCATGTATATATTAATCACTGTGTGTATTGTTTGTTAAACAAGTAGTAACATTTTGATGCAAGTTTATTTGTAATAAAAACAAACCTTGAACTGTTTGTAGCTGTTTGAGTCTTCAAAGTCATTGTTGCCCTATTATGCTGTATTATATTAATCAAGGGTTATTTCTCATCAAAAAAATGTAAAATTAGAAAAAAAATAAACTTGCTTTTATTGAATTACCTGTCCTGTTTTGTTCACTGCATATTACATCTATGTTAAAGCGGGAGTGTTGTCACCAGCGTACACGGGGGAATTGAGTCCCAAGCGGCGATAACAACACACACTAAAAATGCAACGGCTTGTGGGTAGATGCTTGTTTGTAAACAATGACATACTATGGTCGCCTGACACATGCGTAGGTGACGACGGTCTCGCTTTAAGCACAGCGAAGTCCGAAAACGATAACTATTAATTTGAGTTTGTTCCGTCCGTCCATCCATACGTACGCCCGGAGTTATATCTTGGACACCCATTGACGGATTTCGTTCAAACTTTACATAAAGACAATACATAATGTCTTACATATGCGTGTCAAGTTACTTCATGATCGGAGCAAAAATGGCCGACTGGCAGCCATTTTAGATGTAAAATTTGCTATTTCTGATACCTAAACGTGTCCGCAGCTGTTTCTGAGAGATGACTGGGCCGATTTGTATCAAACTTGGTATGATGATCATACATATTTGGTTATAGGTGCACGTCATATTTTTTCTGTGATTCAAACTAATATGGCTGACTGGTGGCCATTTTGTTTTTCATGATACCCATATACCCATGCATACTTTCCCATGAATGCAATGAACATTTCTGTTTAAATTTTGTACAAAGACAGTATACCAATAGATACATTATTTTTGTAATTTAATTCAATATGACTGCCCAATGTCCATTTCTCGTCGTGTAAAAGCACTAAATCATATTTTTTTACAATTCCATCTCCTATTAATGGTTTCAATCTAATCTCAATGACTTCATCAGCATCAAATTGATATGTCAGATCACAAAATTTTGGACGAGGACTGGGTCATTAATAATGACTTGTTTTTGATAAAGAGCGCCCTCTGGCTGTGTGAGATGTCATATTTGTCGTTCACATCTCCAAAAGAAGCGTGCATTTGTGAGCCCAAAATGACGTTTAGGAATTCTTCATTCGCGTATTGATCTATGTTTTATTGTATATGAAGCAATGCTGTGATATGACTGAGATGATAAAGTTACCCATGATTTTGTAGCATTCATTATTTATATATTTATATTATTGTCAAAATCTCAGTTGCCCTTTCAAATAATGATCAACGCATGAATATTCATGGTCTAACACAAATCGTACAATGATATATCCCAAAATGC